GACATCATTGGTATTGTTTCTACTTCAAACAGGGTTATGACGGTCTACCTTGTAAGTATCAAAAGCTATAATTTACTTGGCATTTGCAATATGTCAGATGAGTTTTAAAACAGAGAGCTATAATGCCCCTTTCTATAGCAATTCAATTGCCATAAGTTATAGCTCCCACTTTATATGTAAAAACCCCAAGGTTCAGTGGCTTTTACAAAGATCACCAAGTTCCAGTTTGGCTCTACCATTTAAGCTTTCCTGAAGAAAATATGGCCTCGTATGTGACATTTAAGGGCAGAGCTGGCTTGGAGGCTGCACAAGTCCCTGTTCTCAGGACAGCCCAGGTTACTCTCCTGCTTTCCCTGTCTTTACATTTCGTACAACTTGTCTTCGAACTTGTGCTTTGTAAGTGAAGTCAGTGGGCAACGGAGCCAGCCTAGAAGCACAGATATGTTCCAGAGGTTAGTCTGCGCAGGTTGGCAAATCCTCACAGTAAGCTTTGGTCTATGCCAAGCTATCACACACAACAGTGAACTCTTGAAAAAGTTCAGAGTGCCCCTGGGCCTAAGGTTACATCTGGCCTGGATCTAGGCCCTGGCCATAGTGCTCACAATGTCGACATTAGCATAATTCACGGTGGCAGTGACTCTCCCTTTAAGAGAGAGAATGGCTCTGCATTGGAGAAGTACTAAGATGTGTGTGGCAGGCTTGCCAGTCACATCTAGAGTCTGTCCCTGGACCAGTCACACTAATAGTAACGCTTCCATCTGATGCAGAAAAGGGACTGCCAACTCTTAGGTAGGAAACCTTTGAAATAAATCATTACAAAGCAATTTTTTTTGGTCTGGATCTTTTAATAAAGTTTGTCAAAAACATTACCAGAATTATTCAAAGACTATAATTCCCAGTTCTGAATCTTGAAACTTCATCACAATACGAAGGTCCGTCCATAGACTGAGACACAGAAACTGGATACGGGGCCTTGGCTTCAAGATCACCAGTTTAATTTGAAACTTGACACGAATCAATGAGAAGAGAGGAAGACACTTCTGAAATCAGCTTTTCCCTGGCAGTTGAAGACATTTTAATGCACGAACAGGTATTTAAGTAAAATGCCCCCAAGTCGTTTTCAATTCTTTATCTAACACCCGGCAGTCACAGGAAAACTCAGGAAACTCTTGTGCCAAGGAACAAACGCTCACCACAATAAACACACAGGAGGCAACAAATGAGCACAGAGCTAATCTCTCCGGAGAAATTATCCCCACTATGAACTCACTGTAGATGTACTCAAGTTAAAAACTGAGTAGGAATATATCCATCTAAATATTGTCACAGCCTGGGATACTCTCTTGATAACCGCGTCAATGGAAACATTCCCTTCAAAGCTGTTGGGAGAACAGTTCATTATGTTCTTAGACAAGAACCTGCTGAAAATAACGTGAGGCAGAAAATTCCTAACATCAGTCAAGTTTCCACATTCATAGATGGAGTTATTGAAGATTACAAAACCACAGTTTTCACATTTGTTCCATAGTGCATTATGTAAGATCACGGAGCCATAATTTTACGTTTGTTATAACCACCTGGGTCTGATAGTCACGTGTCAGAGAGGTCATAAAGGTGCTTTACAAGTAATAGCCACTTAAAAAGGAATCAACTTTCTACTTCAGTAATCTTTTCCCACTCTTGTGTTCAGACAGAGGCCCCCTCTGACCCAGCCTTGCATGACTGGGTCTTTCGGCAGCGGGGTGCCTTGAAGCTGATGGGAGACCGCAAGACCGCAGTGTCCCAGAACCGGACCCCTGCGCCTGACACTGTGGTGCTGGCTGGAGACGCCAGAGCTTCATTCTGAGAAACCTGAACGCAGTCAGTGCTCTCTTTTCTTCCTGATGCTTTGATTTGCCTCTAGTGTCTCTCCCGCCCCTCCCGACTCCCCAGTACCCCCGTCCTCCCGCCCTGCTCTCATCTGCTTCCCCCTTTTCTTTTCCTTTTCCACAGGATCTTACGGTGTAGCCCAGACTGCCCTGGAACTCAAGATTCCCATTTCTAGGGGTGGGATTGCAGACTGGTGCCACCGTGCCCAGCGCCTATTTTTGCTTCCCACCAACTGCATGGGCTGAGTGTAGGGTCTTCATGGGGCAACTACTTCTCGGCTGCACTTTGGGGCCGCACTTTGCACTTTATGTTAGTAGCTTCACTCAGAGCATGCGGGTCTTCTTGGGCCTAAAGACTGCTAGGAATGACTGCGAAGTCGCCTGTGTCTCCAACACCAAGCAGAAGCACCTTTGGACCATCGGATGCCTGCTTCCCGCCGGAGCTCCTCTTCTCTCCCCTTTTCTCCAGCTATTCAGTCAGTGCTTATTTATTCCACACTCTCTCCAGGAACTCTCGAGTCCACCTAAGGACCATAGGCACCAGCACCAGCCCAGCTGCACTCCCGCATTGCGGGAGGGCTTCCTTCTCCAAGTTTCGATGGGAAAAGGCATAATTCTTTTAAGAGATTATCTCTGCTTCTTTTCCTCTCCCCATCCCTTGCTTTTCTTCCTTATCCTGCAGAGTTATCCCAGATTCTCCGTTTTCTTTTTCCAAACCAAACTCTGTCTATAATGCCGAGTACATCTGGCGATTTCACAACCTCTACTGTTCCCAGGCTCTCAGTAAAGATGGCTGCAAGAAAGCTCACTCACTCCTCTCAGGTTTCCAGGGTCAGGCAGGTCCAGGTGACCTGCCTCTGGCTCTCTTTGATGTTGGGAAAATTCTTTTAACACTCAAACAGACTTTAGTCTTGGGCAGCTGCTATTATCAGGAAGTTCTTTTTTTGTGTGAAGTCAAATATTCTTTCCAGTATTAAGAAAAGGTTCAGTTTTCCAAGTCCCTGGGCAATTCTAGCACAGTGACAGAAAAATTCCACTTCATTAGCTTTTAATACTTCCCCCAAGCCTTTGACTTTAAACGGCTCACTAATTATTAAATGCTGTTTTCACATATTTTAATTCTTAGCATATTTGATTGTTTTTAATCATTAAGTTTGTCTTTTTTGACAGTTTCAGAGATTTATCTAATGTGTTTTGATTACTCTCACCCACCCCCTTTTGTCTCCCTTCCATCCCTGTCCACCCTTCCCTTCCCACAACCCCTTTCTTACACTCCTATCTTATCAGTTCGTTTTGTGACTCTGCCACAAAAATTGTTTTGTGACAATTTCCATGACCATGGGTTTGGGGCTGGGCACTGGACGGCCCACCATAGGGCACACAGCTCTTTTTATTACATTGGATTAAGAAAGGTTTTTGGAAGATGCAGGTTATTGCCAATTACAGTGTTCTAAAAAGAAGAAAGAAAGAAAGGAGAGAGAGAGAGAGAGAGAGATAGAGAGAGAGAGAGAGAGAGAAAGAACCTTGTGTTTTAATACATTCTCCAAAGGCCCCTGCTTCCCAGACAGGCCGCATATGAAATGTTTTAATTGCAGTTCCTTTTTGAGAAGTTGGTAGAAAGAAATCCTATGTGACCAAGTTTCAGACCCACTCTGTTCAGACCCATCACAGTGTTGATGAATTGTTAAGTTTCACGACCAATGTAAAACATGGGTAATATCACCCAGGTGCTTGCTATATGTAGTTGGCTCTCCTTATTCAATCTTGGGGTTCAGATGTAAATACCCCAAGACAGAAAAGATCCAGAAAAAAAAATTCCAGAAAGGGACAAAGGGTGAAATGTCAATTTGCTACAGGCAGAGTGCTCTCCAGAATTTACGCTGAGGTAGTGAGGCTTTGTGTTAGATATTACTGCAGTTCTGAAGACGGCTTAAAACACATGGAAGAATGTGTGTTGTCATATACAAACACCACTACATGGGTGTGGGTGCATGTGTACACACGTGTGTGCACGCAAACACACAGAGTTGAGGCATCCTTGGGTTTTGTTATCCATGGGCATCTTGTACCAGTCCTGGATGAATCATAATGGATATTCTATGAAAGCTTAGAAATATTGTCATGAGAGGGAAAAGCACAATGGCTTATGGAGGCTTTTTATGTTCAACACAGCATTTCATTGCAAAATAAAGAATAGGAGTTGGTTCTAAGCGTGGGAGAAAAGTCACTATACCACTGAGTAGTGACAGTCCTCCTATGTCCCCTCGTCCTCTCCCTTGCCAGGATCTAGGACGAGCAATAGTCTATGTAGAAGTCAGCACACAGGGCTTTGGAATGGGGCCCGTGTACTGTCTGTCTTACAGTCTCATAGATTCAATACTTCCACGGCAATAGCCTTCACGTTCCAGGTGAGCAGAGCCTTCCAGTCCCAGGAAGCCCAGAGTGTGGTGACATTCCCCATTAGGAGCATCTGGTTCATTTATTACCCCTGTCAATTTACAAACCAAGCATCCTTATCAGCAATGCTTCTGAGCTCCCAAGGTCTAAATGAGGAGCAGAAGGAGGGAGAACATGAGCAAGGAAGTCAGGACCACAAGGGGTGTGTCCACCCACTGAGACGGTGGGACTGATCTAATGGGAGCTCACCAAGGCCAGCTGAACTGGGAGTGATGGAGCATGTGATCAAACTGGACCCTCTGAATGTGGCTGTCAATGAGGGCTGACTGAGAAGCCAAGGACAATGGCACTGAGTTTTGATTCTACTACATGGACTGACTTTGTGGGAACCTGGTTTGTTTGGATGCTCACCTTTATAGACCTGGATGGAGGGGGGAGGACCTTGGACTTCCCACGGTGCAAGGAACCCTGACTGCTCTTAGGACTAGAGAGGGAGGGGAAGGGAGAAGGGGGGAGGGAAAAGGGAGGCGGGGAGGAGGTGGAAATTTTTAATAAATAAATAAATAAAAAACTAAACAACAAAAAAACCTTACAAACTACAGAGTTTTGAATAAAATGGTAATAACCCCCCCCCAAAGAAACATAGATGGTGGGCAATGCTCACTGGACCAGTAGGAGAGTAGAACTAAGGAGGCAATTTTCATGCAGAGAGGTAAAAGTTTTATTAACGTTCCATCTAGAATATGTCAATACAAATAAAAAGCAGGAGAACAGACTGTGTAGTTTTAAATACTCTAAGTCTACAATATTGAACAACAATATTGACCAGGAAAAGGGCAAAACCAAACCAAACCAGTCTGTGTGTGGTTAGCAGCTCCCAGAAAGCTCTTGTTCTATATTTAGTGAGTGTCTTACTCACCTCTCTGTTTATAGCATCGTACATAGCAGGTACTTGGCAAATATGTATTAAACTAGTGGATAAAAAGACTCTCCCTAGACTACACAGTGAAAGCAAAGCAAGTCCATTTTTAAACTCATGAAGCTGTCCAACATCTTACTGAAGTCCTTTCTGTACTGTTTTGTTCTTCTGTTAGGCTAACCTCGCCCTTCTTTTCCTGCCTCTGGACAAACTACGCTTTAGATGCAAAAGTGTATAAGGACCGTGTCCCTGGTAATATAAGGATAGATGTCAGCACTAAGCTCTCTCACTAGCAGAAGGCATATTGCACTGTGGTAGAAATGTACATTTCTGGCCTCACTGTCAGTAGTCCTTGAACGTAAGAGAGGTTAATGAGATCAATATGCAGTAACCACAGTTGAGGAAGCATTTCTAGCCCAGATGTGACCAGAAGTGCCATTGTTACGACTGCATGTGAAATGGCCAGATACGAAGTGCAAATTCCCATGTTAGGTGTCTGAAAAATAAGTTGAATTGAGGTACAGTAATTAAAGCTGTATTTCCTGATGCTATTACAAAAATATGTTTTATTTCTAAGCCAGCAGAGTGTAGAAGGTCGAAGGTGTTTGTTTTTCTGATGGAGTAAACGAGCGGAGAAGTCTTCAACACATGGGGATGCAAATAAAACAGGCGCTACAGATTTTCTAAAATCCAATAAGCGTGTTCAGTTTCAGTCCCTTCAGCAGTCTTCATACGATCATCAAAACCTAGTGGGAATTAACAAGGCAATACAAATCAACCGTCATTTTGTGAAGGAAACATTTTTAACTACAAAATTAATATGTATTCTTAAATAGGATATTGAAAAATTATCAGTCCAGCACATTGATTACTTATAATCACCTCTTTCCTGAAAGTGTCTTATATTCTAATTTAAATAAGATTTGGGCCACTTTGCATTACCATTTTATAAATATATGATCTGTATGATCAGAGTTCACAGGAAGGACTGTGATGCTTTTATTTACCCAGCTGAGGAATTACATGGGAATCTGGATAGGTAATAAAAATGTTTAGAAAAATAGCATGGTGATCTATGTCTACAAATCCAGCCTGCAATCATAATAAGAACCTGTTTGAGGGGAGGCGAAGGGAAAAAAAAAACCCTAAGGGGAGAGAAAAAAAGAGACAGAGCTGAATGCCAAGTGTCTCCTGGGAAAAGAAGTGGCAAACTTTCAAAAGCCTGGGTGATTCTAGGTCGGCTGGCATGCTCTAATTGCTAGGGGGATTCCAGACAGCGTACCCTCTCATCCTTGTGTGCGATTACCACACCCGAGGCCTGGGTTATTGCTGTTTCCTTTCTGTTTCGGCCTGCAGTTCTGCTTTTGCTCTCCCTCGAAATGATGTCATACAGGTGTCTACGCCAAGGTACTCACCCAGGGCAATCATCATTTTTGGAGATATTATTCTAAAGAAAAGCAGAGACAACATATGATCCGTTAAGACTCGCGAAAGTCATGGAAAGGACTTCTTTGCGAAGACTACGAGCAAATAAAATGAAGTCTGGAAGATCAAGATCCATGTTGCACATGTGTACTAATGGGACGGATGAATGGAAGGACACCGTTGTATCAACATCGTGGATGATGGTGGATGCTTTTAGCCTTTTCTACACCTGAAGTTTCTCCACATGCTACACTCATTGGCTCATTGGAAAGACCAGATGGCTCCTTATTTGCTCAGTCTATCTTGATTTGCTAGACAAGAATAGCAAGCATTAGAATAAAAGCATACCACCTAAGAAGACAATTTGTGACTCAGTGGCCTGAGGCATGGGGATGGTTCTAATGCACATGTGCAACTGAGAACCGTTGCTCAGAGCAATGCTGGATTTCAGATCCCTGTGGCTTGGATCAGCTCAGCGCTGCTCAACTTAACCGAGTAATCATGTCTGCACGTTTAATCTTTATCAGGCCCTGTTCTGGATGTAAGCATAGACCAGGAGAGAACTTAAAAATTGTGTCCTCAGAGAACACACAAGCTGGCAAGGGTCCAGATGTGAGATGCTAGAAGGCCATGACAAGTGGATGGGTCACACAGTGATGAATGTTGGCTTCCCTGAGCAGTGAGGGCAGCCGAGGAAGAACAGGGAAAGCAGGTGGATATAGTAAAGGATGTCCTGTACTTCTCAGGAGCACAATCCTCATGCTCCAACTCAAAGCATCAACATGATGTCACGAGAAGAAATCTCTGAACCTGATATATGTCAAGCCATAATAAAAACACATCATCAGATGGCCTTTGGATTGTATGGAGGTGTGTAGGAAACACGTGGGTTTAGACTTTGGGTCTATCCCCAAGATATTTCATTATATATAAACTCATCCAAATTTGAGTAAATCTGAAGCCCCGAGCACTTCTGATTCTAAGCACTGTTCACAAGTGCCAGTCTTGTGCACACAGCAGGAGAAGGGTCTGTTGGGAAAGCTTCAGCAGTTCCATTGCAGCTTGCAGACTCTCTGTCCTCTCTAGACTCTCTAGACTGGAGGTGCTATCCCTGAACAGCCATCAGGGCTGGAGGCAACGCACGGAAGATGCTACCTCCATGCTAGACGTGGACCTGTGAGAGTCTGCTCACAAATACCCCAGAGTGCATTGTGTTGGCCTTCAAGGAAGTTGCAGGAACTCTTTCACAGAATGAGATGGAGAAATCACCAAATACCTTAGCATTTTCCCAGGGGGAAAAAAAATCAGGATTTTTGTCCATTATTGCAAAAATATAAATAAACTAAATTAATAACTAAATTAATTGAATAACTAAATTAATTTAATTAATTAATTTATAAATAACTAAATTAATTGAACAAAATAGATATAAAACAACAACAAATAACTGAATGTCATGTTGTATACAGTAATCAGGGAAGTTGAGGGAGGTGTTGAAAGTCTGGAATATGCAATGTGGTATTGTCTCAAAGAACCCAAGAAAGTGAATAAAGAAACACACACACACCCCTACCACCACCACCACCACCACCATCAACACCATCAACAGAACAAAGCAACAGAAAACAACCTTAAAACCTCCCCCAATGTCACCCACCCCAGAATTTATGTGCTGTTTGGTTCCGTGTAAGAACAAATATAGTGCCCTCTTGAAAGGCCTAAATAATTCCTTAATTTAGTTAAAACCTGAAATAACAAAGGCGAAGTTCACAATAGTCCAATAACTTGTCCCTGTAGTAGTAAAATTCTTTGTCATCATGCTAAATAACAGTGAAGCTGCCTTGTAGACAGAAAAAGTAGCAATGATCAGACGACGTGTTCACAATCAACCCAAAGGTTGATTAGGTCTTCCTTAACTTACTGTTTGAGAAATAGCGCAAAGTACGCAAACTTGGGTATGAGCAGGTAAACTTGTTCCTCTAAAATAGCAGTGAAGATTTTTTGAGCCACATACTCCTGATCCAGTAGAGGTAACAGAAGTGGATACCTGGAAAGAGAAGGCAGAAGTGGGGTCAGCCGAGTGCTCTTTCCCGCCACCATCAGTGTCGAGGGCTGATTTCAGACCCCGAATTACAGTAGAAACAATGGCTGCACACAGTAAAAAGATGAGTGAATATTTGGGGTTCCCTTGCGTTTTCTCTCGAGGCCAACGCTACTGCCTCATTTGAATGCCCAGTCCTTCTTTTCTGCTTTATGCTCTGAATATAAAGATGAAATTACGGCTGGGAGATGGTTTAGTGATTTCAAGTGCTTGCTTCACTAACTTGAGGATCAGAGTTTGATGTCCAGAACTCACGTAAAGGCAAGGGGGGCCTGGCAGGTCACTTGTCATGCCAGCCTCAGGACTTTGAGACAGGACCAAGCTGGTTAACAGACTAGTCAGAGCAGCGAGACTTGACTTGGATTCAGAGAGCCTGCCTCCATGATAAGATGGAAGTGTGATCACGATGACTCCTTATGTCAACGGTAGGCTTCCATGGACACGCGTGCATGTATACCCACCCTTGAAGAAACACGCACAAGCAATACACATTCATGCACACATACACAATGTAAAAAAATCATGTAATTACTTTTAGGGTTTTGTATCATTCTCTCCTTTCCTTCCTCACAAGCATACAGAATTATCATAGACACAAAACCATATGTTATTAAAAGTAAAACTGCAAAAATCATTTACCAAAACGATCTCTTGAGCATGAGCAATATATCGCTTTAGACAGACGATTGTTACATTGTTAAGAGAAATGAGTTGTGCGAGCCATAGGAAGTGGTAGACGAAACGGAAAGCAAAGATTCTGTATTTCTTTCATATTTCATGTTTTATATTTTTTCAATCATTTGAACCATAAACATTCAGACATTGTTTCTCTCAGCTGAGTTTTAGAAAGCAATCAGTTTTCCATGACTGGATTTTGACAACTCTTGAAAGTGCCTGGTGCTCCAATTTAAGCAGCCAACACATTGAGATAGATGCTCTAAGGACCAGTTTCATCTCATCCTTTAAGGTCGCTTGAGGATTAAGGAGCTTTCTTTTCTGGAGACGTCGTTTTTGCTTTCATGTACGTAGGTATACTAAGCTTATATAATCCACAGTTTAACATCATAGCTTTTAGTTGCTACTATTTTGCAATTTTTTGTCATTTATATTCCTTGTGTGACCTTGACAAGCTGTCATTAAAAGCATATACTTGGTGCTAGCGAGTATTTCCGAGGTTATGAACACTCACTGCTCTTGCAGAGGAACTGGGCTCTGTTCCTAGCACTCACATTGTAGTCCAGAGACCTGTGTGTGGCTCCAGTTCCAGGGGTTCTGATGGCCTCTTCTGACCCCTTCAGACACCAGAGTAACTTACACGTGATGTACATACATGCAAGCAAAACACTCATATATAAAATAGGTGAATCTAAAATTTTATAAAGAATTTGCCCACTTTATTACCAGTTCTTACTGATATTGCTTTGAATTAATATCAGAAATAAAATAGCTAAGATAGTGTGCTAGCTAGCTTTATGGCAACTTGAAACAAGCCAGAATCATTTGGGGAATAGAAACTTCCGTTGAGAAAATGCCTCCACCGAATTGGCCTGTGGGCCAGCCTATGCTAAATTTTCTTGATGATGATCGGTAGGGGAGGGCTAAGCTCACTCTGCGTGGTCCTGGGTGCTGTAAGAGGCAGGCTGAGGAAACAGGTAAGCGGTACAGCACCATGGCCTCTGCATCAGTCCTTGCCTGCAGGCACCTGCCCTGGCTGTCTCCGACAAAGGACTGTGGTATGGAAGTTAAGAGAAAGAAACTCTTCCTTCCCCAGGTTGCTTATGGTCATAAAGTTTACTCACAGCAGCAGAAACCCCGAGACAGATGGCAAAGGCATACTGGGTATTTGTCACTAGTCATATATGGGGAAATGTGTGTAGTATTTACGAAATGGGGAGATTTTCCAATTTTAAAATTGGGGCCATTTTTCTTTTTACTAATTTGTTACTAAACTTTCTCTATGTAGTTTAGAGAGAAGGCCTTAATAAGCTATAGGGTTTATTATTTTTCCCTTATTCTTTTGAGTTGTTTATTTCACTTTATTGATGTCCTGTGAAGCACAGAAGTTTTTTCCTTTCAGTAAGTTTTTAAACTGGTGCATTTTAATGGTATGTGATACTGGGCTTCATGAGGACATTTTCAGACAAGCAGATAATGTACTTGAAGTGGAGTACACTCCTCCTCCACTACGTCACCCCTGCTCTTTCTCTGCCTTTTCTCTCCCATTTGCAACTTCCGCTCTTCAGACAGACTCATTTCTCCTTTTGGATCAAGCACACACATGTGCCCCTCTCCCACACCTATGCACGATGCACACATGTGCGCGCACACACATGCTTTTACGTATTCATGTCAGATCTAGGATACACGAATGAACGAAACCCACAGAGTCTGAATTCATTTAACGATAACCTCTGAAGCACAAACCTTTTAAAATTCGAGGCATCTGTTTGTTTCCTGTGGCTGTTTGTACTTTTGGTGTCGTGGCTGGTAGATCGCCACGGAAGCCAAGGCCAGAAAAATTCAGTTTCCATTTTTGAAAGAGGTTTATGATCTAACTTTTCATCCATCTTTCATCACCTTTTGTGTGATGGGGTTCTGAAGTTCAACTTTGCTTTTTTTCCCCCAGTTGTCCCTGCACTGTTTGTTGAAAACAAGCTGCTGTTTTTGACATTTCGATTATGAGCCTAGCCTTTCACGGCTGAACCAGGTCACCATCAGAGCTCTCTTGCTTTACTGACTTGTCTTGCCGCCCCTATTGAAACTTATGGGGGCTCAGTGTAAAGAGGTCTTTGACTAGCAAGTCTATCCTGTTGATTTGCGAGTCTGCCCTGTCCGAGCATGCACGGTGTGCTTCTGAGCTTCTCCTGAGCTTGACATTGGAAACAGGGATTTTGTTTCTCTTCCTTCTGCATATTCAGGGTAGCTTAGGTTCAGTCAACCTTTCTAGTCCTTCGCTTCTCCACATACGTTTTAGCAACACCTTGGCAATTCCTGAAAAGAAGTCAATCTGAGGTCTTTATTTTACAGTGTTTCATATATGGGTACTGTATTTACATCATTTTCACCCTTCCTCTTCTCTCTGCAAACTGCCCATAGCCTCCTCTCAAGTTCACGACCTCTCCAGCAATTACTATTGTTATATGTATATATACACATATACATGTAACAATAATATGTTATATGCATACATATGTCACACACATATACTTACAGGTATGGTTTTGTAATCTACCAAGTCTATTAGTGATATCTGTATGTACACAGGTTTAGGGCTGACCATTCTGTATGGGAGAACGTCTCAAGGAGCTGATTACCCTCTCACAGCAGCCATTGGTTGGTTGCCTGTTGCTCTTCATCCAAGGGTGGGTGGGGCCTTTTGAGTTTCCTCTAGAAATTGCATTGAATCTGGGAGAAATGGAATCTTAACAGTACTGTCTTTCTATCTATGAAAATGGAGTTGATTTTGTCTGCTTTCATCTCTGTCAAAGATGTCTTTAAAATACTTTTTTAAAAAACAGTGTAATTGATTACTTTCTGTAAGTCTGTTCTATGTATTTTACTACATTTATGCTATTATAAATGGGATTGTTTTTTTACTGATTTCACTTTGGACTTGTTTATTACAAATATATAAAAAGGCAATTGATTTTTGTGTTGATTTTGCATATTGATCTTGCTCAATTCACTTCTTAGACATAATAGTTTTATGCATGATATTTGCAAATGTATATGTGTATGTGGTGTGTGTGTGCACATTTCAACATCTATGTGCATGTGTATGTCTTAGTATTTTCTACACACGGTATCATGTCATCTCAGAACAGGTTTTCTTCTCCCTTTCCACTTCTCTGTCTTTTATTTCATGTGATGTCGTGAGTATACACACACTTGCTTTGCTTTCTGTCCTTTGTTTATTTTTGTGCTGTATTTGGAACATCAGACGTTGCACACGATAGCTAAGCCCTCTGCCATCGCACCATGCTATACAGTCCCTGGCTTATTCTTCATCTTAGGGGCAAAGCAATGCTTTCGGCACTGAATACAAGGCAACTGGTGACTTCTTCACAGGTGCATGCCTCTGGCTGAAGTAGTTTCCTTTTATTTCTTGTTTCTTGAGAGCTTCTCACTCTTGTGTGCTGTCACGCAAGGGGCTGGATCTTGTGGATGCCTTTCCTGTGATACTGAGATGACCATGCAGCTTTTGCCTCTTCGCTATTGACATGATGCACTTTGTGAAATTATCTGAAATATGGCCTCAGCCTGGTATCCTAAGGATAAATCCCATCTGATCACAGTACATGTCTATCATTCAATGACACTGTATTGGTTTGCTGGTCTCTTATCCTGGACTTTTTGTTTTGTTTGTAGGAAATGTTGATCTTTAATTTTATGTTCTTGAGGTGTTTTGTCCGACTTTGGCATCAGGGTCATATTACATTTGGTGAGTGATCTGTAAAATGTCTGGTTTCTGTCTGATTTCAGTAACAGTGTTCAGAATTCAGGTGTTTAATTCGTCTGATGCTTGGTATAATTCTCTCAGGAGGTCATCTTGACTGGCCGTTGGCATTCGGGAACTTTCTAGGTTACTAATTCAGTATTTCCCTCAAGTCAGTTCTGCCAGGTAGCTTTCCCTTGCAAAAGTGACATCTGGCTTGGGTGTGGGAGTCCTCATACTTTTCCTTATGCCCTTTTCCCATCTGGAATGGCAGTGATGGTGTTCTTGCTTAGCTCTAGCTTCTAGCTCGAGCAAGCCTTCTCTTGACTCCTTTTGTTAGCAGAGCCAGAGGTTCATTGATTTTAGTAATCTTTTCAACGAACCAGCTTCTGGATGAATCACTCTTCTCTAATTTTCTACTTCAGTCTATTCCTATAGTGAGATTTAATAGTTCTATTTGCATTGGATTCATTGTGATATTAGTTTATACAGTTTCTGAAGGTAGAAGATGAAGTTATTAACCCAATATTTTTATATAGCCACTTATAATTATAAATGTTCCTGAGGAGCTGAACCTCATAAAAATTTGTATGTGTATTTCAACATATTTGGAAATTTCTCAAGTTATCTTTTGTTTTTATTTATAATTTTATTCAATTTTAGCTAGATAGTATACTTCACATGCCTTTATTCTTTTAATTTTTTGTTGGCGGTACCTTACAGCCAGGCAGATGCTTCTTTCTGGGCAATGTCTGAGGCATGTTCAGCACGAGTGTGCACTCCATTGTTTACGCTCAGCACAAGTGTGCACTCTGTTTTTGTTGAACAGAGTGACTGTCAGCATCTATTCCTGCTTGACTGGGGCCTTTTGTTAGCAAGGGCATCTTTTAATTTTATTTTATTCATTTATTTTATTTATCTTAAAATTTTATTTCTGAAGTTATTTGCTATTCAGTTCTTCTGAGGTATATACTATACATCTTAATTTAGTAGAATCCATTTTTGGTATATATCCTCTTAATTTTAGTGTGATACAGAAATTTTGCTCCTACATAGCTATATTATTTTTTCTTCCTTTATGCTACAATACTTTTATTAGAGAAATACTTTAGCATATAATCGTGCATATCCATTGAAATATTGCGGTTATTACTTTGTAAGATTGTGTTTTGAAGAAGGCGAAGGGACAAAGGAGACCTGGCACCTATTCCAGAGTCCCGCCATGCTGGCCCTTCCTACCTGCTATCATTTTCTAAGTGTAGCGTGTTGTTCCCACTCGTCTCACTTGAGTCTGCAACAATGCTATTCAGGACGTGTTGTTTATGGCAGTGCTATTCATAATTAGCTCAAGGAAGGAAAAAGATACACTTCTCCATTGCCCTTTGCACAGTTATCTACGTTGATGAATTTTGACGCTCTTCTCATGTGAACCTGCTTATTCTCTGCCACCTGCTGTATCTTGGAGACCGTCCTTTTCTGTTTCCTGTAGGGTGGAGGATGGACCTGATGGAGGAGGGTTATCTGTCTATTGTGTTATTTTTATTGGTCAATAAAGAGACTGCCTTGGCCCTTTGATAGGACAGAAAATGGGGAGCCTAGTCGCTGGAGCAGGAGCCGGGAGCAGGAGCCAGGACCAAGCTCCGAAACCAAGAGAGCCTGATCCGGATCTGTGTCTCTTTTTAAAAGAGAAATATACCACACCCCAGTGGGCTGGTATTTCAGCGGCTATTGGCTGACGGAGCGGAAGTCGCTTCCCGCTGCACTGTGGGCTCGTGTTTCAGCGACTATTGGCTGAGGCAGCGGAAGATACTCCCACAACATGGACCCTGTTTTTAGTGGTCTTCGTTTCTGCAGCACGGTTTTGCTGGAGAAGATCCTTGGTTGATTTCTCTTTCAGTTTCCTGACTGTGTCATCTGAAGCCTTTCATGTTTTTCATTGTTTCTGCTGGAAGTTCAGCTGTCAATTGAATTTCAGGTGGCTTTCTTATGGAGAAACGTTTTTCTTCTGGCTGTGTGGCAGGCTATCTTTTGTTTTGCTTTTCAGTACTTTGACTATGCCATATCCATGTGTGGAACACCAAGTGCTTATCTTTCTTGGAGCTCACTGAGGTTTTAGAAAATTTCTAATGAAGCGTACTATCATGACTAAACCTTACTTATAACAACAAAGAATTTGAGATATGGAGACAATATTCCAATATTTGCAATCAAATGGACAGCTTGCCTTCACTTCGTTTAAAAGATCCATCTATTGGTTCCATGATAACATGACTATTACTTTGTCTAGGAACCAGTTCGGCTTAGCAAACTGCTCTAAAATAACACCTTAAATTTTAGTTGAAGAGTGACCTGCAATTGTTGAGTCATACTGGGTAAACAGTTGATGAAAATCCACTGTTTTTTAATACTCATTTTACACACTACCAGGATTTTAATTTTTAGCTTCCTATCTGGTGCTTGGAACGGCCTTCCCTGGAGACACCTTGTCATGTAACTACACTCTGCTCTTCTGGAGGGTGGAGTCTCCCATGTGTTTAAACTGCCTTGAGAAAAGAGACCACTATGGCTGATACATTGTAATCACTGTACTTGCTGCCTTTCATGCCACCTGACAGTCTCTTGAAATCTTAATGACAAGCCAGCCTTTTCAAAGGCCTTAGGGGGGTGATTTACTTGCTGTTCCCAATTCTGTCCAGATTCCCCAAATTTCTGATGTCTTCCTCCAAGTTGCCCCCTACATGGTTCACAGAGGGTTAAAAGAGAAGAGCTGGGTTGGGATGGCCTGCCTTCTAACACTTCAGGTATCCTTAATAACGTCAGGAACTGACCACAGCGGTGCCAAGTTCAAGCTCCAGATGATGCCACTCTGGAACCTGAATTTCACCATTCATTCATTATAAATAAGAATTGGTGGTGCTCCTTTTGAAGCTGCTGGAGAATAATTTCAGAAAGTTTGGTGGCATAAAGATTTTCAAAATGAGGGCTCTTTGTTTTTGTGATTTCTCTCTAGTGTCTAATAAAGATGTCTGTGAGTCTGCTAGTTCAGATTAATTCTGAGCAGTTTCTGAAACTACAGGCTTCACAAATAGTTGTGGCTCTATCATGGAATTATTCCCCAAATCAACAAATAAATGCAGCAACACTCCAGATCTGTCAATGGCACGGGACAGTACTCTCCTGTAGGGCCTGGGGTACATGTCTGTGTATTTGTTTAATGGCTTTATTGATTAGTTCAGGGAATCTATCTCTTACGATTGAATGCTGTCAATGTGTGATTTTGATATCATTTTCAGAGACTATAATTTCAGGTATAACAAAGTTTTCCTAGCTGTCAAATGTCACTGGTGACTGTGGTTTTAACCAAAACGTTTGAATGTGTATGCATGTATGTGTGTGTGTACATGTGTGCATTTGTGCATGTGCATGCATGTATGTGTGTGTCCATGTGTGCATTTGTGCATGTGTATGCATGTATGTGTGTACATGTGT